ACTGCTGATAGGAGTATATCTACAATAAACATTTCAGATTTGTGCTGGCTTACTTCTGAGTGGTGTGTGCTGCCTAGATTTATGAATCGATGCTGAATTATGCTGATCCCTTAAACTGGGGATGCACGGTTAGAAGGTCTTTCAAGAGGATTTGTTTTGGAAACGTCTGTTCTATTTTCTAACAGTTAATAAGGTCAGATTAATGATTGATTTCAACCGTAGTGACAAAAAAAAATTCTAACAGTTATTATGGTTTTTATTCGGGAAACTCCATTCATTGCCAAACATGAATGTTAAAATCAAATGAAATTTTGAACAACATTCGTCGAGTCTATGATGGTATTTTCGAATATTCTGATGAGCTTATTTATATGAAAGTCTATCAGCATATACCCAGCTTTACTCCCGCTCCCTCCTTACATTTTAGCTTTTCTTCCCAAGCTCCTCTAGATTCTAGGGGTTGATTTACTAAAGGCAAATAGGCTGCTCGCTTTGCAGGGGAATTTTCCCTTAGATTAGTGAATGTGGTGAAAATTCACTTTGCAAAGTATATCCAACCATGAGCAAGGATGATTAAAAAAGGTATATTTGCTTGTACATGATTGGATGATGGAAGTCAACAAAGCTTCAGCTCATTCACTAAACTAAGGGAAAACTTCCCCTGCAAAGTGCAATTCTCTTGCAATGTGAACAGCTTCTTTGCCTTCAGTAAATCAGCCCATTAAGACTCAATGAATAAATCCTGCTTTCCTAGTGTCTCTGTTTACTGTCCTAGTAGCTATTCCTGCAGCTGAACTGCTGCTTGATCTTTAGTTTAATGCGCTTTAATTGCCAGTTTTCTTTGCTTCCACTTGCTCTAATGGGACAATTCTGTTGTACTGAAATAAAGAAATGTATGCTACTCTGTTATGAGTGGAGGGTACCACTCATAGCAATGAGTATAATACAGTAAGTAAAGCAATATTAAAGGTGTACATCACTTCCTGTTGTCTAAAAGTGCTTAAAGGCATAGCCCACCTTTAGAAAAAATAATAATAAATGCACTCAAAAAAAAAAAAAAAATGTGCTTATTTATTTTTATTGCATTTGGGCTTGCTGTCTGGGTTTCTTACTCTTCCTCCTCCAGTCGACTGCAGTATGCCTTGTTTGCTGTATGTCTGACACTGTTTGTTCCTCTTTGGCGCCCTCTTATGACCAAACCTGTTAACATCATCATTCTGCAACTTTAGCAAACTTCTAACAAATTCCTGTCTCAGAGTGATGATGCAAACACCAGTTCACTATTTAACTATCAGCTTGTCCATTCAGTTTTTGCCCTTGCGTGTGTTCTGATCTACCAAGTGCTCTGCTGTTGTTCCTGTTATCCATGTATGACCCTGGTTGACCGATCTCCTGGTTCCTGACTCCAGCTATTGTTTTCATTTATTCTGCTCTCAGTGTTCCCTGACCTGGTTCAGCTGATAAGCCGCTTCGTCATCTGACCTCTAGGTTGGGATCGACAACATCCTGGACTTCCTCCATTGTTTTTTTGCCGTTTTTGTTTATTGTTATTTTCAAAAAACTCCTTTTATTTTTAACCAACACTTTAGTGTCTGTCTGGTTTATTGGCTCCCTAACACCTGCAAAGCATTGCAACTGTAATTGATGGATTGAGGGTCCATTTCTCAGGCTCCTGCAGACTATTCCTCTATCCCCAGGTCCATATCGAGGTACAGACCTTCTGTTGTGGAGTTAGAGGAAGTCATCAATGGACTCCAAGTACAGTGAGGTCACAGCACTTGTGCTTTATTGAGATCTATCAGTCCTTCTGCTTTGTTTGTCTTTTTATTTACAGATCCTGTAAATTGATCTGTGAATGGATGACGCAGCTGTCAGGTGGAGCCATACACAGCAGAACTGAATTTAAAGTGAGCTGAAAACAGCAGGGAGAACCCTGTGATTCGGGTAGATGGGGACTGTAAGTTACACTGTATATATAGGTTTAACATGAAACATGGTAACAAAGGTGAACATAGCCTTTAAAGTAGAACTCCGGGCATATGAAAACTAAATCCTTGCAGTTGGGCTATCCCCACACTGCAAGGGTTGAGTGCTCAATTTGGTTTAGGGTCTAATATCTAAAGATACACTCACCGGATCCTCGATCCTGCAACAGTGACTGCTCAGCTCTCTCTTCCTCTGGTCCAGCGATGGTATGTCCCTCAGCATTCTCCCATCCAATAATTTCATTGAACCCTCAAAACCGTGCGTGAGTCGAGTGTAACATTTATCACTATGAAGTGTGTGAAACATACAGAATACGTACTCAGTGTTCTATGTGAGATTCTGGGCAGCAGATACGTGTTCTACTTTTGGCTCAGCCTATCAATTCCACTTCTAGTATTCTGTTATTTAGACTAGATTGTGTCTTCCTTATGTTCTGATAACTTGTGTTTTATGTGTGAGAAAATAAGCGTGACCATTTTGAAATGATTTTATTTGCTAATTGACTCTTTTGAATTTGGACAAGAAATCAAAAGTTCTTATTGTCATAAAATTATCACACACATTACATTTAAATTTTACAATATTCTTTAAATCTACCAAAAAGCATGTAGTGCAAGGGCCTGCCTGATTGGTTAAAAATTGATTGGATGGATTAGGTGGGTCCTCATATTACATAGGGATCTACTTATAAACAATTTGCAGAGCACACATTTCATTCTGTGTGAATAGAGGCAAAACAAACATGCTTAGTATATTCCCTTTTCAGGTCAAATGTAATACCAAATTAAGGCCACTAGATGGTGCTGAGGAGCATAAAAAATAAAATATTTTTACACCATCTAGTGGCCATATTGCAGTATTACACAACATTTTACAACAAAAGGGAATATACTAAGAAGGTTCGTTTTCACCTCTAGTCACACAAACAGTCTCAGAAATTTGCAGGGTGATTGGCTGTTATAAATAGACTTCATAGTTTTAGATCTAAAGGAGATTGTACAATCAGATTGCAACATGTGGTGAGGTTTGAACAGACCTTGCAAATAACAAATTATCCAATTTGCCAGCGCTTGGCGGGGGTTACTCAGTGAAACATGTAGGGAATTCACAGATATGGACATCAATGGGCTACACAGAGGGAGCTGCTATTCCAAAACAAACAGGGTGGGAAGCCTGAACGATTATGTAAAAGAAAACAAAGAACAAGAGAAAAAGGCGCTGTTCTTTGTTTTCTTTTACAAGACCTTGCATATAAATGCAAGGTCGGCTTGTATTCAGTCCCTCGCCTCTAAATAAAAAAGTGAAAGCTCAGTGAAAGTTATAGGATGGTAAAATATGAAAGGCCTTTTTACACTAGCCCACACACTAAAATGATCTGTTTTAGTGTCCTAGCTGGTGGCTGTGTGTATCAAGGTGCGGTTTATGGGGTCTCTTTTACTTTATTGAAATGTTAAAGGAGAACTATGGGGTTAGGGCTTTTCCCCATAGTTCTCCTTAGGGTAACGGGAGGATACAAACTAGCGTCCTCCCGTCACCCTAACCTCAGTATACCGCGCGCTGTATACTGAGACGCCGCAGTATACCGCGAGCTACAGCGCGCGGTATGCTGAGACGCCGCAGCTGAAACGGATCCCGACAATTATGTCTGGATCCGCCCAGCTGGCTCTGACTATCTAGAGGCAGAGCCAGCTGTACCCGCTTCTTCCTGTTCCGCCAGTCAGCGCAGGAGGATCGGAGCAGGGAGAGGGGAATCCAGCCCCTCCCTTGTCACGGCAGAGAGCCGTGACAGGATCGAAAAGTGAGCGAACGCCGGTATGTGTTCGCTCACCTCCCGATCTACTGAGCCGACCTGTGACAGTCTCATTATCACAGGTCGGCTAGAACTATGAGGTAAGTGAAAAGCACTCACCTCATAGTTCTCCTTTAAAGTGACACTTCATTAATGTCTATGACCTGCGGTGTGTAGAAAAAGATGGATGGAGAGTTGCGGTGCCGTGCAGGGAGATGCAGATATGCTGCATATTTCCGCACCTCTGCGTTCTGTTGTAATGTGAGTGAGACACAAAGGTATTTTTCACAAGGGTCCGTTCACACCGTGTCCATAGACCTGCACCTGAACAACACTTATCTCCACAAGGGCACATAGAACACCATTGTTTTAATGGTGTTCTATGTGCCCTTGTGGAGATAAGTGTTGTTCAGGTGCAGGTCTATGGACACGGTGTGAACGGACCCTTGTGAAAAATACCTTTCACCCGGCTTGTGCCCACTTCCTGTTAGTGGCAGCAAGGCCACTGGGTCTTTTACCAGTATCCTGGAGAAGGAGTGGATCCCATGTACCATGAGAAGATGCCCTGACAATGTACAGAAGCAAATTGTATGTGGGATATACTATCCCTCCTTTACCAGGATCCCACAAGAAGGCCAAATGATGTCATCCTGGCCTAAGCAAGACCAAATGAGATGGGCGTAAGATAGGTGGAGCGCTCAGGAATACCAGTACCTCAGGGTATGTGGGGGCATCTGATCTTTGTCCAGTCACCTGGGAAAAGGGCAATTTCATTAACCCGGTGCAAGCTCCGACACAGAATGTCACATGGTTTTTTACAAGAATGAAACTCAGCACTCCAACAGATGAAAGGAATGGAGGGGGGAAACATGAGATGGAACGTATGAGTGGGGAATGTCATTTTCCATCACACTGGTCACGTGATGCACTGATTTCTTTATGACAGATGCTAGCCTACAAAGCTTCGAGAAACACAGTTTAGTCGGCTTTTACTGCAAAGGGGATGCAATAGGACTCAGTCCGTAGGTGATAGACTAGAACAGTCCAAGCAGAAGCCTCTTCCAGCACATTACAGGTCATACAGCTGCCATGAATAATACAATGTCCTCTTGTCCAGTTCCTCCACAGTCCACACCGAGTGTAAAGGAAGCCGGAAAGAGACGCACGGAAGTTGAATTTCATTCCACTGGGCGACCGGAAGTCGTTGCCATGGAGCTCAGTATGGCCCTCTCGGGCTTCCGTAGTTGGAGGTGCGCCGGAACGCGGACTATGAGAGAGTGAGGGACCGCGAGTTAGTAAGTAAGGTGAGAAGTGCGGAGTGTGAGAGGGAGGAGGGGACGGCTTTCCGGAGGACCCGGTACATGTCAGACGAATGACAGCTCATGGGAGAGCTCTTCCTTCTATGGGAGCCGTGTGTCCTAGGCTGTAGGGCGGCACTCCGACATGTCTGTATGTGACTTCCCGTCTGCCCTGTGTACTTGAGGAGTGCAGACCTATTATGACCTCCCTGAACACATATATTCCATGTACGTAAGGTGTGAAGAGCTATGACATCCCTGTACACTGTTTACATGTATTCTATGTACGTGAGGAGTGCAGTCCTATGACATCCCTGTACACTGTATACATGGATTCTATGTACGTGAGGAGTGCAGACCTATGACATCCCTGTACACTGTATACATGTATTCTATGTACGTGAGGAGTGCAGACCTATGACATCCCTGTACACGGTATACATGTATTATATGTACGTGAGGAGTGCAGACCTATGACATCCCTGTACACGGTATGACATCCCTGTACACTGTATACATGTTTTCTATGTACGTGAGGGGTGCAGACCTATGACATCCCTGTACACTGTATACATGTTTTCTATGTACGTGAGGAGTGCAGAGCTATGACATCCCTGTGCACAGCATGTACTCTTCTTATATTGTAAAGCAATGCTGCCTTCATCTGAGCTGTCATCTGTTCTATGTACTATAGAGGTGCTGTGCTATGTGATCCCTGGACACTGTATTCATCTGTTCCTTTAGGACAATACAGACATGTACCTGTCCGCCTTTATCTCGGCTATCCATGCCCTGTACACATCCTACATCTGTCCTGTGTACTAAAGGATTGCTAAACTATGCGGACCCTGTACACATCATATGTCTGTCCTGTCTGCTATAGAGGTTCTTAGCTGTCAGGGCTCTGTACCCATCCTACATCTGCCCTGTGTACTATAGAAGTACATAGCTATCAGGGCCCTGTACACATCCTACATCTGCCCTTTGTACTATTGAAGTACATAGCTATCAGGGCCCTGTACGCATCCTACATCTGTCATTTGTGCTGTAGAAGTACGTAGCTATCAGGGCCCTGTACACATCCTACATCTGTCCTGCGGTACTGTAGAAGTGCATAGCTATCAGGGCCCTGTACGCATCCTACATCAGTCCTGTGTACTATAAAAGTACATAGCTGTCAGGGCCCTGTACAAATCCTACATCTGCCTTGTGTACTATAGAAGTACATAGCTATCAGGGCCCTGTACGCATCCTACATCTGTCCTGTTTATTATAGAAATGCATAGCTATCTGGGCCCTGTACACATCCTACATCTATCCTTTGTACTATAGGAGTACATAGCTATCAGGGCCCTGTACGCATCCTACATCTGCCCTTTGTACTGTAGAAGTACATAGCTATCAGGGCCCTACATCTGCCCTGTTTATTATAAGGGAGCAGAGCTATCAGGGCTCTGTACACATCCTACATCTGCCATGTGTATTATAGAAGTACATAGCTATCAGGGCCCTGTACACATCCTACATCTGCCCTGTGTATTATAGAAGTACATAGCTATCAGGGCCCTGTACACATCTTACATCTGTCCTGCGTATTATAGAAGTACATAGCTATCAGGGCCCTGTACATATCCTACATCTGCCTGCCCTATGTATTATAGAAGTACATACTGTAGCTATCAGGGCCCTGTACACATCCTACATCTGCCCTATGTATTATAGAAGTACATACTGTAGCTATCAGGGCCCGGTACACATCCTACACCTGCCCTGTTTATTATAAGGGTGCAGAGCTATCCGGGCCCTGTACACATCGTACATCTGTCCTGCATTCTATAGGAATGCAGAGCTATGAGATCCTTGTACAATATATACACTCTTCTTATATGGCAATGCTATGACACAGCCACATACTGGCCTCTGCACACTGTTAAGAAGACTCAACCCACTTCCTTATTTGCTTTTTACATCACCAACAGGAAGTTTATTTTTCTGCTTACATAAACATGAATTGTTTTTAGCTACAAATTCTTAGTTGTGTTGTCACTGTATTTTATACCTAATGTGTTCCTGTCCATGTACACCTTATCATTTAACAAAACAAAGTGTGTAAGCAGTGAATGCACCCCTGCCACTTCCTCAGTTATGCCAACCAGAAAAGAATCAATATGTCAACAAAAACCTGACTGAGCTATATTGGATGAAAGGTTTAGTACTGAATAACGCTTTTGATGAGCAAATAATATTGAATTAGCGCAGAGTTCTAGGGCAGAGGGTCAGTCCCTCCAAATCAGGAACAGTTGGGATCCTTTCTGTTTATAGCAGCATTATTATCTGTGGCTTTTAACAGTCTGGGAAATCCCAAATGAAACATTTAGTGTTAGCATTAATATACTTTCATAGTAAATTGGTTTTACATATAAAACCACAAATTCTCCTGTGGAAAATTGCAGGCTATGGAAATCAATGTTGGGTGGGCCTAATAATTTTGGGTTAATAATATACCACACACCTTCGTTTTTTGCTGTACAAACGCTCATTGCGAGAGAAACATAGAGGCTGCTATTGGTGAGCTCTCCTCCTAAATATTGGTTTCCAGACTGTAATGCGCATTTTTGACTTTGAAGCCAGATTCATAGCTGCGTGCAGTGTGGTAGGTAATGCAGGCTTTACAGCATCACACGGTAAAGCCTCATGCAGACTGCCTGCGTTAAACACAGGAGAAGTTATCTAGGAAGTAGAAACAAATTTTGTGCTTTCCGGATCACTTTTTTTCTGGGTTTAGTTGCGTTTAACTGCATAAAACCAGGCTAAACAGTCCTGGGATGCAAAAAAATCTTGCTTGGGTTAACTCGGCTACACTGAATGCACTTGGATGCTGCTAAACGTCTAGGTGTGCACTCACCTATAGGCTATAGCAAAGCATTACATGCTTCCAGGTTTTTTGCTTTTTACATCACCAACAGGAAGTTTATTTTTCTGCTTACATAAACATGAATTGTTTTTAGCTACAAATTCTTAGTTGTGTTGTCACTGTATTTTATACCTAATGTGTTCCTGTCCATGTACACCTTATCATTTAACTGCATTTTCTCATTCAAAACGCTCTTTAGAAAAATGGTAATGTTTTTACAGTGTAACTGTGCTTACATTTCTATATATAAACGTAGTACTGTGTGCGTCTGCAAGTACAGCAGAGACTGTTTACAGTGGTGGTGTACCTTGTTATTCATTATATTACTTTTGCAACAATTTAGATTTTTAAGGCTGTTCACATTTAGAAAGAGAGTGGTTTTGTTGTGGGTTTGATTTCCCATCATTTTATATCTCTGGAACATGTTTTTTTCTCATAGGCTTTAGTTGCCGTTGCTTAGATTTTGCTAGGTTTTTATGAGTTGTTTGCTACGTCGTAAACTTTGCATAGGAGAGGCTGGGCTTCCACACACAGCTGCAGTGTGGCACAGCTGAAAAACTCATCATGTTGCTCATTTCCTTTTTATAGCTCAGCGTCTTTCTGGAAGGCTGTGCTCGAAGGGCTGCAAACCAGCATTCAATATAGCCAATCATTTCACTGGTGAGATCTGATGGAAAGTGGATACGGTTACATTTAATATCTTGCTTTGCCAGGAAAAGGCTCATTTTAATGATATCCTTTTCCTGTTCCAATTAAATATCTTTGTAACAGAGACTAAATATTCTCATGACCGTTGAAGCGTTGCTTACGCAATTAACTTTAGGAATTTTGTTTGCAACTAAACACTTGTTGGTTGAACTTGTTGGACGTGTGTGTTTTTGTTCAATCCAAGGGCTGGTTCACACTAGCCACACGGTAACAAGCTGGAGTCCGCTGAGAGGCAGCTGGTGGTGTAACTTTTTTCTTTTACTTTATTTGCAGTGTACAAGCTGTACACTCAGTTCAGGTGTACTGTGCTGCAGTGACCTGCAATGCGGTCCAGTGAGCTGCGGAAAAATACAGCATGTCTGCACACCACAGATCACACCTGAGCTGTAGTGTGAACAAGAGACATAGAAAACAATTGCTTCCTATGTGCCCTAGCGGTGACTGGGGTTCTTCAATTGCTGAAAAGTGCCAGTCACCATTATAGTGTGAATGAGCCTTAATTGTGACATTTACTCTTAAAGGGTTTTTCCACTTTCCCAGGTGAATTTGGTAAAATGGAATTACCCCTCCTATCTGGCCCCCTCTCCCCCCTGCTATACTTACCTTTGGGCAAACACTCTTTCTCCTCCGCCAGTGCAAATGTAGTGCTTCTGACCTCGCTGAGCAATGAGAAGTGCTTCTTGCAGGTGGCTGCGTTGGCCAATGAGTACTCGCCATTTGCAAGCGAAACTCAAAATACAGAGCGCAGGGCTGCACTGCCCGTGTACGGAGTATGGATGGTACAGCCGAGGAAGGGAAGGAGTGTTTACCCAAAGTCAAGTATAGCAGAGAGGCTGAGGTGGGGCCAGATTGGAGGGGGTAATTTCATTTTCCCAAATTCACCTGCGAAAGTGGAATTACCCTTTATGCGTAAAATTAAAGGCTCTGTCCAAACTTTTGAGCTGGTCATAAATGGCACGAATTTCAGCCGATTCCTGTGAATTTATCACAATTTGAGCCATGCATGAGCCTGTTGGCCTAACCTGGTTCAACAAACTTTCATTGACAATTCGAAGGAACCATGCTTCCATGGCTGCTTTTATACAATAGCTGACAGTGTGATATATCTCCATCCACACTCTATGGCCATCTGAAAGAGGAACTTCACTCCTCTGCTTTTTTTTTTACTATATCCTCTTAGTTCTTCGGCTTGGTTCTAAATAGAAAATCCAGTGTTGTTCTGCTGTGACCTGCTTATTCACTGCCATAGCCTGGGTCTTGTCCTGCCTTTTCTGCTGACGCCAGCTTTGTCTTCCGGATTCTGCAGCTGACCTCTGATGACATGCGTCTCGGTCTGCTCACAAGCCCCTTTGAGGGCTTGTTCACACCATTTTCTGGTCCAGATCTGGAGCAGATCTGCATTTGTTAGCTGCAGTGTGGTGCGTTTCCGGCGCATTTACGTTGCGTTTCTGCGTGTTCCGGATCAGAAAAAATTTGATCTTGCAGTAATTTTTCTGTCCGGAAACGGAGAGCACTGTGCTGGTGTGAACTGTCCGGAACGGAAAGCACTGTGCTGGTGTGAACTGTCCGGAACGGAAAGCACTGTGCTGGTGTGAACTGTCCGGAACGGCAAGCACTGTGCTGGTGTGAAATGGAGCCCATAAATAGGGATACATTGTGATGCGTTTGGAATGCAGAAGCTAACTGTTCTGGACAGAATCTGGACAGCGTGTGAACAAACCCTGAGTCCCTGCTCCTGCAGGCTCTTTCAATATGTCACTTGGATGGCTGCGGAACCAGGGGCTTGTCATTCTTGTCTAGGCCAGAATGACAGCGGCACTGGACAGAAAAAGTGAACCAAAAAAAAAACTATTTGCCATTTTTTATATTGCAGAGGGGGGATTGCAGGGAGCCAAACTGGATCTAAGGAGTGAAGGTCTGCTTTAGGATAAATATTTAGTAGATCCTCAGATTTGACTCGCCTACATCTTCTAGTGCCTTGGTTCTCAACTGGTGGGTCGTGACCCAAAATTGGGTCGCCACCCTGTGTTCAGTGGGTCGCCGTGTGCCTTCCGCTTTTCTAGGTGAGAGGCTCCCCCTAGCACAGCACTGTCAGTTCTTGCGCCGAGCAACCATTCAAAATATGCTTCCCGGTGCCGAGTGTCTGCTTGAGGTGGGGTGGGCTTGGTGTATGGCCGCGAGAGAGCTCCATCTATACATGAATTGCTTACAGCTCCCTTGCATGTCCTACAGAGTTGCTTGGACCGAAATGATCTCACATTCTGGCTCCTGACACCTCTACAGGGAGTACGAGGGAGCTGTACAAGCAATGCACATATGAATGGAGCTCCAGCACAGCATCCCACACTGGACCTCAGGCTGAGTATCCACTCCAGTTCTCGTACGGTAGGGTGACTGGGTGGATTAAAAAAAATAAAATAAAATTTTGATGGCCCATTCACACTAGTACAGTGTGGTAGTCACGCAGTCCCGTGCTTTGGATTGCCACTCTTTTGAATGGCACCCCAAATGCATCTCCCACCCACAGTTCTATTGCCCACTTCGGAACGCGTGGTACCGCAATGCCATGCGTTCCATTGCAGTGCGACTTGGGTCGTGACTTAATGACCGAACTCAGATGTGGAGAGGGAAAAGCTGCACAGTAATGTATGTATGTTTTTCAGTTCCTAGTAAGTCAATTTGATTGTTGCAGAATAGAAAAGGTAATCTGTTTTAGAAGCAATAACAGTAGATATATGATTATCCCGAACTCTTCAACATGTATAAAAAAACACATTTTTTATTTAAAAGAGATTTTGTACAGCCCTATTCTAGGCAAAATATGAAACCTCCATCTAACCCCTCTAACCATCCTCCATCCAATTTCTTGTGTTTCCTACCTGGTGAAGCAAGTTATACTCACATAAGTCACCTATCTAGGTCCCTCATTAGCGCCATTTTCAGCTGCTGGGGACTGCAGTAAGTCCCTCACCATTCTGTCCCTGACAGTCCCCTGGAGATTGCCATTCCTCTTTTGGATCCCGAGTGGACTCTGCCACTGGACAGGCAATTGGTAGTGTCCATATCAAAGAGGAACCCCGATGGAACAGAGAAGGCTCAGGACTGCAGCGCCAGGCGACTGCGGCTTCAGGTAAGTAAAAAGGAAATTTTTTAAAATTCTGCTAGTGGGGGATGTGGTAACGTGGTGTGGGGTTAACATTATACCAGAGATGGTCTTGGAGCAAAACAAACATTTACTGCCAATTAAACTAGGTTTTTACTTGTCTTACTTATTAGAAATGCCCGAGGTTACTGGTTTGTTTCCAGAAGTCAGAGTTGCATCATCCCGTGACATGAGACCGTGATTAATATCCACACTTGCCAAGTTAGTTATTAACCAGTTTTTCTTGAACTGGCTTTAGCATTATTCAGAAAACGCATGCCTTGTGCTTTCTCTCTAGTTCATTACAGAAGATTATAGAATCCATGCTTTGCCCAATTTTAGCAGCCAAATGTAAAGGCTTCTATGTGGAAAATACGTGCATTGTACCTGCAGTTATAAGTGCAGCTCATGCTGCACAACTTTCTATGGTTGTTTTATTTTCTCATAATTAAAATTGACTAGAAAATATAAAGCTGTAGCATACTGCTATTTAAAATCTTGTTTGTTTCCTCGTCAGAATGACCATGGCACAGCTGGGAGCAGTAGTAGGAGTGGTGACTCTCTTCATTGCCTTGATTTTACATTCATCTATTCATAAAGTGGAAGAAGGTCACCTTGCTGTATATTACAGGTAATTCCAAACAAATGCTTAACACTTACATCCTCCTGTACATAGGGTGTCATTGCTGTGTCAACCTTTTTACATTATTATTATACAGGATTTATATAGTGCCGACAGTTTGCGCAGCACTTTACAATACATACCTACAGTGGCAATTTGTTTGAAAATGCCCAGTATACTCTATAAGAGTGGTAGGCAACTTTGACACTCCAGCTGTGGTGAAACTACATATCCCATCGTGGCTTTGGAAGCCATGCCTGTGGCTTTCGGAGTCCCTCAAAAGACTTGTAGTTGCACAACAGCTGAAGTGCCAATGTTGCCTACCTCAGCTCTATAATGTTTTCATGTAGCCATCATGTTCGAAGGCATTTGTCTATTTTCACATGCCATATGCAGTGCTACTGTGTTGGAGGATTAGTAACTTAACTGTCCTACAGTCACTTTCCAGACAGGACTTTATGGACTTCACATTATGTCTGTACTGTGTAATCAACATTTACCACTACACTGCTTTTTTGCTGTATTATCCCTTTATTACATAATTGTTGTACTTTACATTCTGTTTTTATTTGTTTCCGCAGGGGGGGCGCATTATTAAGTAGTCCTAGTGGTCCAGGATACCATATAATGTTCCCTTTCATCACTAGTTTTCGATCAGTTCAGGTGAGTGTCGGTACATATTGTGTGTCCTTGTAGAGCAAGATTTGTGTGTGTATATGTATGCAGATTCAAATGATGTCGCCAGCACACCAATCTATTTGTGTTCAGCAAATGTCATTCTGAGCCTGCGAGGCCCCGAAAAGTACTTGCGATTGAATTGCAATTTGTGTCATTAAAATGGATATTTGCTGAACACAAAAAGATTGGTGTGCTGGTGACATCCTTTGAATCTGCATACTGTTCACGGCACCAACCGTGGTCACTACAAGCACCCACCTGTATTTATCCGGTAAGGAGTGCAGCAAGATGCATCTACTTTTTTGTATATGTATGCACACACAAAGGGGTAGCTTTTACCACCAGATTTAAGATAATTATTAAGGCTTAGAATCAAGAGGGTGAGCAGCAATCAACTTTTAGAATCTTGTGTTCTTCACAGGCTTTCTGGCTTTCTGTAAAAACCACCTTTGGCACCCACCATCCCCTATTCTGTGATAAACTAAAGCAGTGGTTTGCAGTTAACTTCCAGACCAGCTATAGTGACTACACATCTATTGTATTCACCAATCAGCCAACTTGCAGTTAGATGTCTAAACATTTGTTTTTCACGTTGATAATTTTGCCTATCTATGGCTACTGCTTTAATAAAAAAAAAAAAAAGTACAGTGTAATGGTTGGTTTTATGTTATTCACCAACGTAATTCACAGTGTACATATAACAAATGACATCAGTCCTGGCCTTCAAAAAACTCCTGATATAATGGGGGCAATTTATCAAGCCTGTCGCATCCTCTGCATTCTTTAAACAGTTGCATCAAATGAATTGCATATTGTGACTAAGTTACTATTGTAGTGTTTACGCCATTCATGAATCTCTGGCAAACAGAAGCTTAATCAGTATTGCGACTAAAGGTGGCCATACTTTGTACAATTTTCATTCGAAATTTGTAATTTCTGCCACAAACCCTTATTCAATTATAGCTAGACTTCCCCATCATGCATAGTCAAATGTTGATTTCACATATCGTTCATTAGCCATACTAACCAACCAATTTTTGAGGAACAACGGAAACAATTTCCTTTTGCGCATGTGCTGTGTTCTTGCTGAGATTTTTGACTAACGAAAACCCCACTGAGTCATCGATGTTCGTTCGGTCAGAGAAAAAATTTCCAACCTGACCGATCGAAAAATTTCCGATCACAATATAAAAAACACAAATTGGTGATGTACCATCAACTGTTCGATATCCGTTCGAAGGACTGTTCGTGTACGATTTCCAAAGGAAAATCCTACAATGTGTGGCCACCTTAACTTAAGTATACTGTCTCGCTTTAGCACTAGCTGGAAACAAATGAATGCGACAATTCCCATAGTTGCTGAGACTACAGCTTAATTGCCTCTCAGTCTGTGCACGATCTTTTCCAAGTCAAACAAATGTATCTATTGGGCTGCTGACACTGACTAGATTGCTATCAGTCTGTGCACAATCTCTTCGGCCCTTTTCACACAGGTGGTCCGATTGGGTTCGCCTGTCAGTTTTTCAGGCAGGCCCAATCGGATGCCCAATGCCAGTCTATTTAACCTGGTTACCCCTGACTCCGGCCAATTATGGAAAACCAAACTGATGAGAGATCCGTTTTGCTGGAGTTGATTGTGCTGGATTGGGGGTAATTTGATGTAAACGGAAACATATCTGTTTACATCCGATTCCCCATAGACCGACACGGGGTCTGGTCATTTCAGTTTCTTCCTCCATCTCAGGAGGAAAAACCCGGACGGACACGGATGTCACAGTATTGACATCTGAACAGTACTGCTCTGATGAGGAGAGGATCCCTGCATGGTTCTTCTCCAGATCAGCCTGTGTGAAATCGGCCTTCCAGGCATGAAAATGAAACAAATGTATCCACTAATCTGCTGACACTGTAGCTCTTTAGGAGTGTTGCCAATGAAGCTATAAATGTCCACAACAGACTTTACAGGAGACTTTCACGTCTGTAACGAGACCGTGCAAAGACCGACAGACATGCCGCAATCTCCGCAGCTCTGTGGATATATTTGACCCATTAATGCACTTTACATTTGCTTCCAAGTAGTGCAACGTGCTATCGTTGTGTGTAAATTTAAAGTTATAGCTTTTTATTTTCTTTGCACTCATTTAAGAAGTGATCAAGAGCACTTCTAATGTCTGTGACTGAATGGCAGAGATTTCGGACTTTCATCTCCTGCAATTATTATGCTAAAATAGTGCTGTATTCGCACTTATGTCGCATACAGTCACGTAGCCGCACTGCTGTAAAAAACACAGCACCACAAAAGGAATTTGTCTGTGCAGCAGAAATGCACATAGATTGAAGGTGATTTAAACAGACGCAGATGCATTCATAAATCCCCCCCATGTTCCTACCATTACTGGTTCCTACCAAGGGAGATTTTGTAAAAGAAAACTTAAACAGTCAACGAAAACCCACAGAAACATATAAAGAGAACACCGACACTTTGTGACTTCAAACAGACACACTCACTAACCATTCCTAAGATAGTGCTGGCTAATGATTGATGGCTCAGATGTATTTACACTCCACAATTGACCTTTATCCTGTTCCATACTAGTAAGGTGATTGTGATCCTTTGTGATAAATGAAGTGTATTCTCTCTCTGTATACAGTGGGGAGCTGTGGAATGAGTAAGGTGTGACTGTATGTGAATATTGATTAAGGAAGGTGATGATTTCATGCTTTGCACAACTCCTTTCTATTTGATCTCTATATGGATAGTTGAATGCATTTTCTATGTCCTTTTGTCTGATCCTAGAATTATTGAGCTGTATTCAGTATTCTGAGCTTACCCAAGAATAAATTATATGGTTTGTTTTTCCAGACAACATTGCAAACCGATGAGGTGAAAAATGTACCCTGTGGTACCAGGTATGTCTATGAACCATATGAGAAAGGAAGATATTTGTTCTCCGATATTAGATTGTGCATATCATTGTTCTGTTGTTTGGATAAGAGTACACAGGTGCTGTGACAATGCCCATCCCTTGTGATGCATAATTTGTTAGGATACGCTGCAAAGGAAAAAGTAATTATATGTGAAGAGGACACATCTCCAAATGGGGAAAACACAAATCCTCTTTAACATGAAAGTAAACCTTCAATATATTCTGACAATGTAGTCAAACAAATGGTGCACATGCATCTTGGTAAGTTATGAGCTCTTGTTAAAAGAAGGAAATGTCCCTAACACCAGAGCTGGGTTAATTTTTAGGACCTGGGTCAACAGGCTTTGGCCTTGTGTCGATGGACAAATGTAGCATGCAATTTGGTTCATATAGCCTGCATTTGACATCAGTTTAAGAAGCGTGTGAAATCATTCACCATTCATTGACTGATGCAGTTGATCTCTTTTTAAAGTACACCATCCTGCACCAGGCTGCTTTTTCCATTCTATTGATTTGTATGGGGATAGAAGCAGTTCTGACACAAACAAAAGCCCGTTGGCACAGTCCTTTACACTTAGGCAGTGTATGAACATATACTCCTGGGTGTGGAAGCCTTGTCGTTGTATGTCCTTTTTCTGTTTCTCCTCCATTGATTTGTAGAACTGTAGATAAGCAAATTTGTCTTATGCTCACCACACACGTTACAATCTGACCATACAATCTTTGTACAATCAACTATAGATCTACCAAAACGATGTAATATTGAGCACCTATCTAGTCTATACAATCAACCTGCATCCAATCCGGCAAGATTGTGTGTGGGGAGCTTTATACTGACCTCACTCCTTACAATACGAGTACTTGGAAGACAAAGGTTACAATAACTGTAATAGCTGTAAAAAGCTGATCAGCTATTGTGTATTAATAAAATGTTTTGTAGCCTATCTGGATATCTTTCTGACCCTTTACAACAGAGGTGGGGAACCTCCGTCCCTCCAGCTGTGGTGAAACTACAAATCCCAAGATGCATCTGTCTGAGTCGTGGCTGCGAGAATCTTGCAATGCCTCATGGGATTGGTAGTTTCACCACAGCTGGAGGGCCGGAGGTTCCCCACCCCTGCTTTACAAAGAGGGATACCACATATGATCGTTGTGTACATTTTAACAGAAATTTTATATTTTTAAGTTGTTTATTTGGTGTCCAGAATTGCATTTGAACAGTGATTTTTGTTGATCACTTGCATCCAGTATTGTTTGTCTTTTCAGTTTAAATCAACTGGATACATTCCAGGTGCATCAAATGAAAAGGAGTTCATTTTCTTTCTGAAGCAGGTACAGCCTGAGTACAAAAGCCTGGAAAAGGAAATAATGTCACCAGCACACCTATTTTTGTAAATCAATGATCCATTTAATGGCACATTGCCATCCAACACAAGCGCTTTCGGGGGCCGCAAGGGGTCCCCTTCATCAGGCTCAGAATTAGGTCAGGCTCATTCTGAGCCTAATGAAGGGGACCCCTTGCGGCCCCCGAAAGCGCTTGTGTTGGATGGCAATGTGCCATTAAAATGGATCATTGATTTACAAAAATAGGTGTGCTGGTGACATTATTTCCTTTCTCTGTCATATACACGGTGCCTTCCGTGGTCACTACAAGCGGTAAGGAGTGCAGCAAGATATTCTGTCTATATGAGTACAAAAGCCTGTCTCCTGCCAGAAGATGCCACCTGGAATCCCTGTTATCTGTAAGGAACAGTGTTCTCTCTGTAGAGGTCCGACACCCCCCTTCCTGCTTAGTCTGAGCTAGAGCTCTGCAGTAAGTAAAGCTCACGCTCCCTGCTGATTGAAGGCTCTGGCTGACTCATCAAGGGGTATGATGGACCTCTGTAGATAGACCCCTTCTTCCCCATAGAGAGCAAGGGTCCTTCTCTGCAGCATACTGGATAGGCTTTTCCACTCTGGCTGTGGCTACTTTCTAAAGACAACAAACTGTAAGACTTTGAACATATTTTATTTTGATAGACTTGGAATGTAATTATATCATTAAAATGGAAAGTTCAGTTGGGCTGTAATGTATAACCTGTACCTGACAATTATTTCTTTTTCATGTGTATATAATGATATTAATAGATTCCTAACCCATATACATTTATGCTTTCTTTGTTCCAGTGGGGGTGTTATGATTTACTTTGACCAGATAGAGGTTGTGAATATGTTGACCCCATCAGCAGGTCAGTATTGTGATGTCTCTGAGTGTTATATTGTGTGCACAAGTAAGATAGTATGCAATGACTAACTAATAACTAAGGATTGCTGATATGGTAATGCTTCGGTCTTAAGCCTAGTTTCAGTCTAGACTCTAGAAATAACCACTGTAACTAAATATCTTTCTGGCCTTGCTGCCCTTTTCTTAGCATAGATGGTTGGATTTGGAAATGTCAGCTGGGTACGCGCGAGAGTAAGTGAAACATGTTACAATGTTTAAAAAAGACACACTGTTCAGACTCAGAAATGGAATATGTTAATATATTCAAGTTCCTGCCTGGGTCTTTATTTTTCTATCCTGCTTTGTCTGAGTGCCAGCTTTGCTCACTGGTAACCTGAGGTTACCAGAATTTTGTCATTTAGATATTTCATCTCCTGTTCCAGCTATGATTTGGGTATTTAGGGAGCAGCAGCACTTTTTAACAAGTTCACCCCTACACCTTTTCCTCCTGTAAGCACATTGCCAGTAAGTAACAGAACCCTGATTGGCCCTATAAAACTATCTTCCCAGTTTGTGGTAAGTAGTGCTGCTAAGCAGGGGAATTAAGTTTAGTGATATATGTGTCCTAATGTTACCTACAGTAGGTTGCTTTAACGATTTAAAAGGATACTCTTTTAGCAGGGTTGTAGGTAAGCATAACCTATTGTGAATGTGCAGGGGGGAGGGAGCACAGAATTAGAATACATACATTAAAAGTGTAAATATCCTTTCAACAATGTGAAACAAGGAGTTTTTGTATGGTGTGAAGGTTCCTGTTATTTATCATGGCTAGTTGTATGAAGATCAGAACCTTGCAGCATCATCTGCATACTTTGCACAGCACAATCTTAATGTACTTTCATGATTTCTTTTTCAGTATATGACGTTGTGCGAAACTACACAGCAGATTATGACAAAACGTTAATTTTTAACAAGATCCACCATGAGCTGAATCAGTTTTGTAGTGTTCACACACTGCAAGAAGTGTATATAGAGTTCTTTGGTAAGTGAAATGTATAAGGGTAATACGTGAGAATAACTTATTTCTGAATTATGACTACTTAGGATGACTTTCAGAAAAGCTGTTGTTGTCTCTACATCAATTGGATCATTGCTTGGTGGTACACCTGTCCTCCTCCAAGCTGGCTGGGCTGTGCATTACTGTACATATGAGGTTTCTGTCCCTAGGCTTTAATGGGCATGATGTTTACTTGCACACATGTAGGGAGATGGCTTTTCTGTTAAAATCTATGGAGAGAAGCCGTGCATGTGTGTTACCCTATGGCCTTGCTTACTTGGAGAAGGAGCAAAATGTAGGCTGTGGCTCCAGGTCGCCTGCTGATCTGAGGTCTGTGACGGAGTTCTTCATAGTATGTGTAGGGCAAGGGGGTGGTTAGGGTTAAGTTATGGCATAGTATTGTTTTCCTTTTAAACTGTCTTTCATGTGGGCTAGCAGGCATATTAGGTATCTGAATATACTTTGATTAGCTACTGCATTGCTCTGGAAGCCCCCAAAGTCCAGGGTCCATATGCTAATAGAGCATTTAGGAATTGACTAACTGAGCCCCTTGGCTTTTCAGTATGCAGGCACCGGTCTTAATCTAACATATGGAAATAAAAGTGCTTTGTTCTATTTTTTTTTTTTAAATATAAAAAACAACCACAACCTCATCTGGATTCTCATATGAACAAAATAAATCTTATTGTATACCATCATTTTGAAAGTAAACTGGCATTAAACTAATCTTGCTAAAAGCAGCCAACCTCCTCAAGCTCAAGTGTAGTTGGCAAATGCTTCTCCCTTGGTTTAATCCTAATACAGTAGTATAGTATAACGTTAAAAAGCTGAGACTGCAGTCTCGGCTGGTGATTCAACACTATTTGCCTTCCCCTTGTGTAATAATCCTCACTGTTTATTTTTATTTCTCCTATGTGTCACACACTCAATCTACAATACCAGTCCTCTGTAGTGAGGCTAAGGAATGTATGGTGGAGCATCAAGTGCAAACAATACTGGTAATCCCTGTATGATATGTCAGTTTTGCAATATGTTTTATTGCAGATTGCTGTTTATATGAACAGGTAGGTCACCGTTTCACAAAAGATGAAATTGTGAGCTAACTCGCAATGCCCTCCTCCCTCTGCCCCCTTCCTTTGGTTCACTCTGCATTAGCTGCTTAGATGACATACTTAGCTGCTCATGACTGCTGGTGTAGCGGGCCGCACACTTTAAAATTCACTACACACCCCTGGAGCCAATGGTGAGTGATCATTGGTCAGTGTGGTTGCCAGTGAGAATGCCTTCTTTTTTATGGTATCCTGGAAGAATGGAGAATAGAAGAGATTCTTATTGATCAGCACAGTCACCATTCTGTTGGTGATGGTCTTGAGTTAGTTCACCTTTTCATATTTTGACAAGTTGGTCACAAATAGTCTGTTTTCTGCTTGTAAACATGTTTTATTTAGGTAGATGCCTTTTAATATGTGATCAATTTATTTTTCAATTGTGTGTCTAATATAGATCAGATTGATGAGAACCTGAAACTTTCACTACAGAAGGAACTTAATTCCATGGCCCCTGGACTCACGATACAGGTAATAAATGGTTTCTAAATAATGTCGGTTTATGAAATTATTATCATGATTATACAAACTAATCTACAGTAACATCTGTAAATTTTGCTCTTTAGGCTGTACGTGTAACTAAGCCGAAGATCCCAGAAGCTATCCGCAGAAACTTTGAGCTAATGTAAGTCACTTGACTGACCTAGAGACTGTAACTTGAATGCTTGTGTCAGTCATATGCCAAAGAAAAAATATGTGACTGTTGTGCCATTATTTCTTGAGTAACTATTTTGAATTTTTTTTTCTGCTTCCTGACTTTATTAATTGTCATTTCATGGTATTGTGCAATTGGAAACTCACTATACTCTTATAAGGGAACTGTAGCCAAGCCTTTTTTTTTTGCTTTAGTTCAATTTTGGGGCCACAGGACGACATTACTAATGTCCTACTGTGACCCAAACTCTGCATAGAGTGGGCTACTGACTGTTACACACAAGAAACGTTCAATGTGAATGGGCCATAAAAAGAATGGATGCACCAATACTAGTATTGGTGCCGATGGCGAGTACTCGTACTCGCCCAAATGCTCCACTGCCTAGCCCGATACTTCTGGTAGTGGGAAGCCACTTGTGACGAGAGCATGGGGCCAGCATCCCGGCCAGTCAGGAAGTCGGTCAGCGTGGCTTACTGATTGGTCGGGAAGTTGGCGATCAGGAAGCCGGACGCTGTGTAATTACGCGGTGGCCGGCTTTCTGATTGGCCGGGAAGCTGGCTTCATGCTCCCTTGTCACCTCATGACGAGGACCAATTCCCTGCTAATCGGAAAGACAGGTGGTGAGTCTTTACATGCCGCCCGGCTTTCTGGCTAATCGGGAAGCCAGGTGGCGAGTCATTACATGCCGCCTGGCTTCCTGAATGGGACTTTCGGTAACAGCAAGTACCCGGAAAAGAAATATAACTACTCGTACTCGATACTGAAATACTGGTATCAGTGCATCCATACTAATAAGTGTAAAATGCCTGACCGGTTTAATTTAAACGTGACATTTTTCTAAAGAGTTTAATGCACAGTTACTATATATTGTCTAAAATTAGGACATCCTGACAGTGACAATGCAACTTTGACAAAAATCCCAGCCGCCAAACATTTCTTTGTGGCCACTGTACAATCTTATCAGCCTTCCTTAACCCCTTCGTGACTGACGACGTACAGTGTACGTCGCCAGCATCGGGGCTGTTTAAACAGACTCCCGGCGACTTTTGCCGCCGGGACTCTGTTTAAACTTGTAGAGCCGACTGTCGGCTTTACAACAGAAGCGATCCTGGCGACTTACCTGTCGCCAGATCGCTTCTGCGTCCCGAAGAAGGGACTGGTTCACATATTTTTGGATTATCTAGCATGTTATGTATGATTTACAGATTACCAACTACATTTAGAATGTGATGACTGCGAAGATCATTTCATAGCAAAATGCTGTTTAATGTGTATCTAAAGGCAAATCCTTTTAGTTGTGAATACAAGCTTTAATTGGTGTCTGTGTCAAAACTGGGGAGATTGATCCTCCCTAATTGTCCTGGTGATTATTGTCACTAAGACTGAAAAGTGAGGGAAAACACCAAATTTTATATTGTCACCATATTAGAAATAATGGGTGAAACGTCTTCTGTGGGCATTTGTTTCTGTGACAATTGTCTAAGACAGAATTTTTCCTCACTTATGGCTTTTAGGTGGATTTGTGTCTACAGGACAGGCCTTACAATGTTCCTGCAGCCTACTTTACTAGTTGTCAGATCTGTTTCTGAAAGCCCCGCAATCCAACACATGCATTGTAAACAAGGCCTTGCATGCAGAATGGCAAATGGCAAATAAAAACATATGGATATCTGACCTCTGCACTTGTGAGCTTGTTGGACATCCCATTCCTAAACCATTGACATTAATATGGAGTTGACCCCCCCCCCCCCCCCCCCCCCCAAGAACAGAAAACACTGATGCGGCATATGATATCTGTAGGAATGTGTGCAGAGAAGACCTGTTCCAATGCATCTGAAAGGTGTTAAAAATGGTTGAGGACTCTGTTCAGACAGCTTAAGTTCCTCCACACCAAACTCATCAAACCATGTCATCATAGAGTTGGCTTTGAGCACAAGGGGCACAGTCAAGCTGGAACAGAAAGGGCCTTCCCCAGACTGTTACGAGGTTGGAAATGCAAAAGTGTCTAAAATGCCTTTGTGTATTGTATCATTAACAGCACACTTCACTGGAAACACCATCAATCATTTGGCGGGAAAGGGGGCGGGGGGTGTCCAGAGATTTTTGGCCATGTAGTACGTCTAGTGATCAGGGGACCACAGACTTTGGGCCATATAATGTTCTTGAAATTACCTGCACAATCCGATCCAACATTTCTAAGGATAGCTATAATTTATTAAAATGTGTGGAATGTAAAACCTGAATGGTGGATTTACTTGGCCTTCGTGTATCTTGTTCTCAGGGAAGGGGAGAAGACCAAACTATTGATTGCTGCACAGAGGCAGAAGGTGGTAGAGAAGGAAGCAGAGACTGAAAGGAAAAAAGCTGTAATAGGTAAGTTTGGCTTGTACTGCATCAAATGCATACGGTTGCAATTAAATTAAAGTAAGCTACTATTAATCATGAAGGCAGAATCTGGATTGATTTTGATGCTACTCTTTGAAATGTTCACATGTACATAGCCAAAAATAATAGGAGCTTGTACTGGGTGATGTTTATCCCCATGATCAGGATTCACTAATAGTTGACTAAAATAGGCAAATAACAATACTGTTCTTCACACTGTGTCTAATAACATTTTAGTACACAGTGGGGGGAATTTATCAATACTGTAGCAGACAAAATCTGGAGCAGATGTGCATGGCAACCAATCAGCTTCTCTCTTCAGTTTGTTCAGTTAAGATTTGAAAGTGAAAGGGAGAGGCTGATAGGTTACCATGCACAGCTGCTCCAGATCTTGTCTGCTCCAGTTATCTCTCTCCCCTCCCTCTCCACTGTTTTATTACCTAGCACTTGCTTTTTGGTAAAATATAAAAGACGGGGTCACGTCGGGTAAATAGACACCAAACATGTCAAGCCTTAAAATTGCGTGCGCGCGCAAAATCACAAACACCCACACTGAAAATTGCCCATAGGCGACGCTTAAAACGCTTTTACCGCTCATCAGTTTAGTGTTAATGGCCCTAAAATTATTGCTCACACTCCGACGTTCACTGTGATATAACATGTGCGGAACAATAGGCGCAATCGTTATTTTCGTCCGTAGGTGCAACCGATGCATATCTGCATTTGTATGTGGGGGGAGGAGGACTTTTTTTTTTTGGGGATTCTTTCATTTTTGTATTACTTCTTTTTTTTTTTTTTTTTACACAACTTTATTGCTATAACATGGGGGGGATAAGAAGCCCCCTATGTGATATCCAATTTACATGACAGGTCCTCTTTATGAAGACATCAGGGGTCTCTAAGACCCCTAATGTCACCTAGGGACCCCCAGAGTAGCTGATGAAGCAGAGATCGGCTTCATCAGCTTCTGTAGCTGGAAAGTGACACTGAAAGCAGGAAGTGATGTAATACACATCACTCCCTGCATTCGGGACTGAGCGGAGATCAGAGGGAGATTTTGTACTGACCTCCTGTCACAGAGCCGTGCCGCTCCCGGCTGCATCAGACACAGCGGATCTCGGGACCGGCAACGGCAGTGACAGCTGCTGCTAATACAAGCGATCGGGCGTCTCGAGACGCTCGATCGCTTCAATGTAAAGCTCCCGGCCGGCCGTGTAATTACAACGGCCGGCCGGGAAGCTGCTCGTCGGGCTCCGCCGTCCTCTCGCCGTGTGTGTGTGTATATGTACACACACACACAATTCTATTTACTATATGTTTTATATTGCTTTTTCAGCGTGTTTACAAATATTTGTGGCACATTTTTAAAATGTGTATATATCCCTTTATTAGAGTTAAAGGAGAACTATGGGGTCAGTGTTTTTCCCCAAAGTTCTCCTCAGGGTAACGGGAGGACACAAACTAGCGTCCTCCCGTTACCCAAAGCTCAGTATACCGCGAGCTACAGCTCGCGGTATATTGAGACGCGGCAGCCGGAGCGGATCCCGACGTAGATGACGGGATCCGCCCAGCTGCGTGAGTGACAGCTGGCTCTGCCTATCTAGAGGCAGAGCCAGCTGTACCCGGCCCCTCCCCGTCCGTTCCGCCAGTCAGCGGAATCCAGCCCCTCCCCCTGTCACTGCAGAGAGCCGTGACAGGATCGGAAGGTGAGCGAACTTGGTATGTGTTCGCTCACCTCGCGATCTACTGAGCCGACCTGTGACAGTCTCATTGTCGCAGGTCGGCTAGAACTATGAGGTGAGTGGAAATCACTCATCTCATAGTTCTCCTTTTAAACGTTTGATGACACAAACAGGATGTGTTTTGCCACATTTGCTTACGTCTTTCTGACTGTACCTGAAATAACAGTTGTAACCACTTTTTCTTCTTTAAGTATAACGTCATTAACAATCCACTTTGTTTTGATTTTGATTGGCAGAAGCCGAAAAAGTTGCACAAGTGGCACAAATTCACTTTAAGCAAAAAGTAATGGAGAAGGAAACTGAGAAACGTATTTCTGAGATTGAAGGTCAGTGTGAAATGTGATGCAATGTCTTTTCTCTGGTAAATAACCAGCAAACCGTGTACTAAGAGTGTACTAAGCCATATGACAGAAGAATTAATGTAAAGAAAAGCTGTCTTGCATCGTTGTCGGGGTTGGATTTACTTCTCAGGAGCCTGTAGGCAGAGAAATCTGAAGCTGTCCACAAGGTTTAGGAGAGTGTTTATGGGAATGCTTGACCATTCTTCCAGAAGCGCATTTGTGAGTTCAGGTACTGATGTTGGACGAGAAGGCCGGGCTCGCAGTCTCCGCTCTAATTCATCCCAAAGGTGTTCTATCGGGTTAAGGTCAGATCTCTGTGCAGGCCAGTCAAGTTCCTCCACCCCAAACTCACTCATCCATGTATTTATGGACCTTGCTTTGTGCACTGGTGAGTAGTCAAGTTGGAACAGGAAGGGGCCATCCCCAAAACTGTTCCCACAAAGTTGGGAGCATGAAGTTATCCAAAAGGTCTTGGTATGCTGATGCCTTAAGAGTTCCCTTCACTAGAATAAGGGGCCAAGCCCAACCCCTGAAAAACAGTTCAAGTGCAGCAACTGTCATTGATCATGTGTTCGATTCTTGATTGATTGGGGACAAATCAGGTGACATACAGAGCCTGTCCATTGTCTCATTTGTGTCTGTTTGTTTGCGCATTGCTTGACAGTGTAATGCACAGCAAGTATGTATACCGTCCTGAAACGTTCCAGTGTTACTGAGTCAACTGCTGATATGGGCACCGTAAAAACAAAGTCTCAGTTTCAATTACTGGTCCATTTTAAAATAAAATAGTTTAAATATAGCTAGCCTTAAGATATAACTTCATGTGTTGTTTGTTCCTTCTCAAAATTCTTTGAAATAAAGATACAAAAGTATGTTCTTGATGGGTGTACTAAAAAAATAGGAATATAATAGAAATTAAACGTGTTCAGTTTTATTTGAATGCCAACAACTACTTCTGAACTTCGTGTATAGTTGCACAGAGGCTCCACCAGCTGGTGAAATTTCACATTGCTCCTCATAGGGTTCAATAAAATGAACCCTATGAGGAGCCGTTTTATCATACAGGGCTTGTTTTGTTCACTGACTCAGAAATGATTGAAATCAAAGACAGCTAGACAGCTGGCATTCTCAGTAAGAGGTCAGCAATGGCCTCCCTGTATTCCTCTCACTAGTGATATCATTGAAGTTACTCTGCTAGTATTTACACCAGCAAGAGAAATTATTACGGAAAATTCAGTAAATATGAATGTTCTATAGTAACTATTATCTTTAGTAGTATATAATTTTAGGCTAGTTAAACTGTAAACTTTCATATATTTCAACTGCGTATGTAGCCATTTGCCTGGGTTTCTGCTTTAGACATCGCCAGTATTACGCACATATTTGGCGATTTTAAATTGAATACATAAATAATAATCAATCTTCATTTTCTCTATTACTGGTTACAACTGGATGTTATTCTCCATTCCTAATGCATCTTCTCATACATTAGTTTTTATTATACTACTTATGATAGTTGTATGCTCGTGATTTTATATAGTTATATATAGAGCTGCAACAATTATTCGATTAAGTCGATTAAAATCGACGATGGAAAACGTTGTCAACGTTTTCCATCGTCGATTCGTCGGCTAAAATTCAAATTTCCCGCTCACGCACGCCGCCTACGCTGGTGTCACGCGACGCCATGCCCACGCTGAGGACATGCGTCTGGCCCTCTCCTCCCGGTGAGCTTCCCAACTCGCCGCTGCCTGCCGAGAACGAACAACGCCGCTGCCCGCCGACAACACCGTCATTCAAGGTAAGTCGAGATATACAAGTTACTATACCCTCATTTTAAATGAACTCATTTAGCAATTCAGAAGTTTTCATATCTGTATTTGTAATACTGAGGAAGAGGGGCAGGTCTTTAAAGGGGTTCTAAACCCTCCCGTTTTTTTTGCCTATATCTACTGCTATCAAGCAGTAGATATAGGCAAACAGTTTAAAGAAAAAAAAAAAACCTGCTATAACAGCGGTTTTAAACGTACCTTTTTTTTTTCTCTGCGCACTCCCGCCCGAGAAAACGGAACTGTTCGGGAGGCCGCAAAGCATCTTGGGGCGGGCGCATGCGCAGTTCGGATTCTCAGCCGGGAGACGAGCAGAGACGTAAGGTAAGTCTATGGAAGCGTGCATCCGCATGCAGACACCGCTGGATCGGAGGGACAGAGCAGTCAGCGCTGGATCGGAGACCTGCAGTAGCGCTGGAGGGACAGATGAAAACATCAGGAAAGAAGATTGGATTAAGAGACATCATTTAAGGTAAGTGTTGACACTAACATTGGGGGGAGGGAAAAAAAAAATGATCCTTTAATGTCACTTTAACCCCCTGGAACACATTGTCTGTTCTGTGTTGTTTGTTAACCCATTCTGTTATTAAACGTTTGTGGACTCATAAACTGCCTTGTTTGGTGCTCTCATTGAACTCTTTATACGTGTATCTTTAGTTCTGGGTTCTGTTTAAGGGACATCCTGTTTTTGTTGAGAGCTGCCTTCTGACCAATTTTCTGAATATTTGAATCCAGGGCCTCACCTCTAATTGTTCTTGATGGGTGGATGGCAGTCTGAAGGAGTGGGCGTTCCTAGGCATGCTCTATTTGAATGCAGACTGTACTAGTTAACGCCCACATGTAATGCTAGAGCCTTCATGGGTCTGGGACAGGAAGGTTGAGGAGGAAAGAGCTAAGTGGTGCTAGACATCCTCCAGACAGGAAATGAGGCTGGCCCTGTCTGATTTGCTGCAACTTCTTATGCACATTGTGAGAAGCTTGCAGTGTTCATTGAAATCAGCAATTTCAATACAAGAGAGGAGTCTGGTCTTGCACAAAGGTAAGGCTGGAGTTTAGCTTTAATGCAGCCGCTGATAATCACCTCATTTTTTATTTATTTTTTATTTTTATTGAACACAAGAAAAGAAAAGGCAGGCATGTATTGTGATCAAACATATCACCTCTCATTTATGTTCTCCCCTCAGATTCAGCTTACCTCGCAAGAGAAAAGGCCAGAGCGGATGCTGAATTTTATACTTCTGAGAAGATTGCGGATGCTAACAAGGTGAGAAAAAATAGTTACCTGAACATTTCGGTAGATAAAACAGGCTTTAAGAAATGCTGTAACCTTTTTAGTTTTTATTGCCCATGCAGGGCAAGTATACCTTAAGGGTCATAGTAGAAAAGTAGATAGTTTCCTAATTTGCACCTTTTTATGTGCATTAACTTAGCATGTATCCCTTCATCTCTGACATTCTCCTTTTCAGTTAAAGCTGACTCCCCAGTATCTGGAACTCATGAAGTATCAAGCCATTGCAGCGAACAACAAGATCTATTTCGGAAGTGACATCCCCAGCATGTTTCTGGACTCTGCCTTTCTAAAACCACCAGTAATGCAGCCATACGAAGGTTTGTCAGACAGAGAAGGCAAGTCTCCGAAGAAGGCTGGGAAATCGTGAAGATGATCTAGCGAGGGAAGACTCTTTGCAGCATCTTGGATATGAAGAAGCTATAAGGATGTAACCCAAACAAGCACAACAGCTTTCTGAAGACTGTTCATAAAACGTCAACTGCCACTTCATTTTATCCTGATTTCTTCTCCTTTTCAATCCCTTTCTTACAATATTTAGCCTTTCTCCATCTTTTCTTTGATCTTCCCACTTCATTTTCTCCTGCTTTCTCCTCCTTTTCAATCCCTTTCTTACAATATTAAGCCTTTCATCATCTTTTGTTTGATCTTTCCACTTCATTTTCTCCTGCTTTCTCCTCCTTTTGAATCACTTCCTTACAATATTTAGCCTTTCTCTATCTTTGATCTTTCCACTTCATTTTCTCCTCCTTTTGAATCCCTTCCTTACAATATTTAGCCTTTCTACATCTTTTTTTTTTTTTTGATCTTCCAGTTAAACATCAAGCTGTATAAGAACTATGATACCTGGTGCTCATACTGAGCTTTGCATACAGCTGCGTTTTAAGCAGTCACGTGCTGTTGTCCTTTACACACTATATCTTCTAAAATGTGCCCCTCGCACCCTTAGAGGTTAACTTTGAAAGGCTGGGATTACTGTTTGCAGAAGCAGAAAAGTAATCTTCTGTATACAGTACCTGTGATTTAAATATTGAAGGTGGGCAGAATTCAGTTGGATAATGAATCGCCTGGTCTAAAATGATGGCTTAAACAACTGCACTATCTTTACTTTGTTCATTGCACTATAGTGACCTGTTGATTCCTTGAGAAATCCAGGAGATGCAAACCCAAGTCTTAACTCTTAACTTACATCTGTGATTGCTCTTGGAAAGATCTTTTGAACTAACTTGCAAAAGCAAGATAAAGCTGGCCTATCATTGTGCTGGTTGTTGCAGAAAGCTGTCCTTATACCACTTTTCTACAAGCATTTGGGATGGGTTCTAATTGGTATTCATTTCTGTGATGGGTATCTGGGATTGTCCTGAACATCCTGTTCTGTATTTCCTCTTGTCTTACTGTAAATAGAAAAAAAGTATCCAGGTTGTGAGCTGCTCTGAGTTTTCAGAAATCCTTTTTTGGTGCTCGTTTCCCACAAAACTGAATCTAGGCCCATATTAGATTCTGAAGACTGGTAACAAAAAAAATAAGTTTATTTTGTTTGTTTTTTAATTCCTTATAGAATGACTCTGTAGGAATTTTAAAAATAAATGAGAACACCCTGCAACAGAAAACTATACTTATCCTTCTGCATGCCCCTCAAATCTTCGCTCTCTTGCCAAGCAAAGCTGGCAGAATCTTTAACATCTAACTCACCTGGTAATATGTGTGGATGCTAAAGATTCTGCTGCTGGCTTTGCTCAGCAAGATTGTGAGGATTTATATATATATATAATTTTTGTTATTCATAAAATCAATGACAGAGTCACTTTAAGGACTGGTATACACCAGCACTGATGGCACTGCTGCCGATTTCATTTTGGCGCACGACAGACCTTTCATTTAACATTTACTTATGTTGGCTCTTGTACAGTTTTACAGCCCCTGATGCTAAGCAGCTCTCAGAATGTTGTTGTGAAGCTCTTTGGTGCATATGTATTCATGGTCGAAACAAAAGAAAATAGAGACATTAAAGTTTTTGAGATATCCGCTATTGCTCATTATTTGAACAATCACGTTAGACTGTTATGGAGTAATTGTTTATAATTTAAGGAGGACAAACATGTTTATCTATCTTGTTTAATAGAGATTATTATAACATATGCCTGAGGTTGTTTAGCAGGAGAAAAGAAATAATAAAGCTACTGAATTTTTATTTTCTATCAACTACTTCATCTTTTTGTATAATTTAGTTTTTTCCGGGAATAGTCCTGTGGTAGGGTGCCAATTTTAATGTAATGCTTAATGGAAGAGAACACCATCTTATGTTCAGTTATCTTCTTCCTTAAATATCCTTAGTCATCGTAACTACAGGAAACACGTAGGCAGAGAAGTGAAAGACATGTACGCCTGGACATGCTAGCTCCTTGGCTGTCATGCTGATTTGTTGTCTTTAGTGATTTGAGTTATCGTCACAGAACCAGTATGCGGAGCAGGAGTTCTGACTTCTTCTAACTTAATCCAGGTCAGTGTCTCCAAGTGATAGACCTATTCATATTTGTAATGCTGGTTTATTTTAACCTGACCCACCAGTTTTAGATGGTAATTGAATCTGTGGGATGGTGTAACACTGCAGACTAAACTGTTGGGTTTTTTTTAATGATTATTTTCAGTTAATTTTGTTTTTTAGATGGCTGTTATATAAATATGCTTGCTTGCTTGTATCCCATGAGTGGAAATCTTTGTACTCAGCAAACACCCTCGATGCCAATCCTATCTCAGGTGAATAATTTGGAGATAAACATCCAGTCTGTCCATGCCAGTCTATTAGCACCTTTTGGAGCTACATTTTATTGCCATGGATGGCCTGCTATACCAGTTTTACCCAGCACAATCATTCAGGTGAGGTCTGATAATCTTATGATCCCAAGGGTTGTGAGGTGGTCCTTCATTGGTTGGATGTTTGTGTATTTGTTCAATACAGATGCCATCAGCCAGCTGAATAATGACTGGTTAGAATGGAAAGCCCTCCTCTTTCTGACACACTGCAGCTCACTAGTGGCCATGTTGCCTACAGCTCATTATTGGCATGAAAGTGTTCTCACTTACTTGCAATGCATTTTCGATCATTTAACATCTGCACAGTGTTTTATTTGGAGGATAGACTCATTAGAACTTTTCTAATTTAAAAACAAAATGTGTAAGATATTGGATTCCATTTAAGCAGTAGTATGTTAAATGGTTTCAAAGGCAGCCATTAATCCATAGTCTACCGCTGCCTGTATTAAAGGCTTAGTCCACCCAACGTTGATATTTTATTGCATATATTTCAGAATATAAATCTTTTGTCATTATTTTCCCTCTTGACCATTTTTCTGGAGAGATCTTTTGGCTATCATTCTCATCTCCATTCATATTTTCATTTCAGTTTTGAAGGTGTCCCATCCCGACAAGCTTGAACACTTTTTCTTTGTGTTTGAATGTCCCCCGCCCCCACCCTTCCCCCTCCATAGTCCAAAACCATGTGGGTAGGCTAGCTGGCTTACACCTAAATTGGCTTTATGGCTTGTGTGTATATGACTGTGGTAGAGGATTAGACTGTAAACTCGTGCATGGGCAGAGAGAATTGAGAACCCTAGCAAGGGGTAATCTTGGTGTGGATATGATGTAGCCAACCCTCATCTACCTAAAACAGAACTTATTTTAAATAGCGTTCACGTTAAACCATTTCCTAAAGTTGAACTCCAGGGAAAAATATAAATGCAGAGAGGAAATATATACAGTGGAGCTGTTTTACCTTCCAAAGTATTTGTATCTCTGCCCATGCAGTTTTGTAATTTTACACATTACAGCCGGGCCAATGACACTACTTTCTCTGTTGGACATATACTGTAACAGAAATACAATACCGTATATACTCGAGTATAAGCCGTCCCGAATATAAGCCGAGGGTGGGAAATGAGGCAGCTACTGGTAGATAGATACCAATAAAATTACATTAATATTTATTTAAAAGAAAAATAACCTAGCTCTGTAAGTGGAAAAGGGGGTACAGGGCTACATACAGATCATTTAATACATTCATGTTAGTATAATTGTAAATGTATTGTCTGCACTGTATTAGCAGTATATACTCTATATAGAGTATATACTGCTAATACAGTGCAGACAATACATTTACAATGATCCTCTGCTAACATGAATGGGTTAAATGATCCGTAGTACATGATATGTAGCCCTGTACTATGGATCATTTAACCCATTCATGTTAGCAGAGGATCATTGTAAATGTATTGTCTGCACTGTATTAGCAGTATATACTCTATATAGAGTATATACTGCTAATACAGTGCAGACAATACATTTACAATGATCCTCTGCTAACATGAATGGGTTAAATGATCCGTAGTACATGATATGTAGCCCTGTACTATGGATCATTTAACCCATTCATGTTAGCAGAGGATCATTGTAAATGTATTGTCTGCACTGTATTAGCAGTATATACTCTATATAGAGTATATACTGCTAATACAGTGCAGACAATACATTTACAATGATCCTCTGCTAACATGAATGGGTTAAATGATCCGTAGTACATGATATGTAGCCCTGTACTATGGATCATTTAACCCATTCATGTTAGCAGAGGATCATTGTAAATGTATTGTCTGCACTGTATTAGCAGTATATACTCTATATAGAGTATATACTGCTAATACAGTGCAGACAATACATTTACAATTATACTAACATGAATGTATTAAATGATCTGTATGTAGCCCTGTACCCCCTTTTCCACTTACAGAGCTAGGTTATTTTTCTTTTAAATAAATATTAATGTAATTTTATTGGTATCTATCTACCAGTAGCTGCCTCATTTCCCACCCTCGGCTTATATTCGGGACGGCTTATACTCGAGTATATACGGTAGTTTCCTCTCTTCACCTCCAGTCTGCTGACTTGACAGTGGAAGAGCACCCACAGACTAATAAGGTCATCTCTCTGCTCACTCTGATCTCTTTTCCTATCAGCATGTTGCTTGTCGGTACATTTGCATGCGGCACATTAGACTGTCTCCCAGTCCTGCCTCTCCCTCTCCCAGTCTGAGAGCTGGGGTTTAGAGGAATTAATCATGAATACGTAGCTGCATTAATTTCCTTCTTTTATATCTGCCTTGAGTTCAGCTTCAGGAATTCAAATATATGTCATATGTTTCATCTTTTAGCTATATTTTTGTTAAAAGGGGTTTGGTAACATATCGCTTGTGCGCCAATAATAGTGTTTCTGACTGGCAGGTATGTGAAAAGAGAATTGCCTGCCTTAATAGAAGTACACCACTATTTTCTTCAGTTTCTGATGTACACCACCATTTTATATTGTTCAATAACATCTCTGCATTGGGAAGGATATTTATATGCAAATGATACTTTTTTGGATTTAAAAAATAAATAAAATAATTATTTTGGTACCAAATCCAGTCTGTTAGTGTAATTTTTT